TTGAGCAACTAGTCGTCGTGCTTACGTACGCCTGATACTTCGGCGATGAAGTATTATTACAGCGACGATTATTATCGTTACCTCGTCGATTGTTTGGCGCGCTATTAGAATTTATACTAGAATCGGTGCGCTGCAAAACTTTGGAGCGGGTCTTAATAAAATTTACTAAATCATCAAAGGTAGGTACTATCGAGTTATGACCGTATTCGAAGAAGCGAATGGTATCCGGGTCCAGCTTCTTAAGCGCGATATGAAGAACAATTAAGTCCGCGAGATTATCTAACTTTAAGTTTTGTAAAGCGCGCACTGCACTTATAAAGTTATCAGTAAATAAATCAAAATTATTTGCGGTGGCCGATTGCAATGGCTTAAATTCGAACATCTGATTAATATATGTAGATGCTAGCATACGCCGGTCTTCGTATTTGTCAACGAGTGCTTGCAATAAAATCTTGTAATTTTCAGCGCAAGGAGTTATACCTGAGCATACAGATAGGGCTTTGCCCGTTAGTTTACCTAACAAATAGTATAACTTTTCAGCGTCGGTGAGTGATGGGTTGTCATGGACGGTTGATTTAAAGCTAGCATAAAATAAAGGCCATGAGCGAATGTCACCCGAAAATGGCATAAGTTCGATAGGCGGAAGTGTGAATCTGGCTTTAGATGGTGTACTAGTACTTTGTGAATTAGATTGCGAATATTGTAAATAAAGCCTATTTATTCTACCGCAAAAGAGACTCAAACGCAATGAGGCTGTTATAATCAGGTTTAGCAATAGGGTTTATTTTTAATAAATGTGAATTATAATTATCTAAGACCTGTTTAAACTCAATACTTAAAGCATTAATATTAGAACTTCCATCAAGAAAACGCTCCATCGTGGAAGTGTTCGTGTGGATGTCAGAGGACATATCATATATTTTTTGCACTATTTCAAATAAAGCATCTCGTTTAGCTAACAATAAAACCAACTCAGCATCAGGTGTGCCCTCATTATCCGAGGAATCGCTATTATTCGATGCTATTTGTTTTTTAGGCGGCATTACGGCTAAAGTTATACGGCAAAATATAATTATAAGCGGGTAGTCTCTAAGCGACCTCGCTACGCGGTTGAATTATTAAATATTAGTTTTTAATTAATTATATAGACGCTTATTACGATAACGATCTAATAAGGGCGGAAAGTCAAGGTCAATCCAGCGAGAAGTGACCATTAAAATGGAGACGCCAGTAACTTAAGGTATCTTCGATAAAGATTTAGTGGACTGTAATTTTGGTGCATACGGCAAAGGGGAAAATAAATAGGTGGGATAGCACGCACTGACCTGATGAGGGCTGCCTCGCCTTCCTCCTGGAGTGTCTGCTATACAGCGAGCTCGCCACGTGGTTCGGCGCACACGCACTCTCGGAACAGTTTCGTGAAGTCCCACACTCTCGACCTTTGCCCTTACGGGGGCGTCTCACACTTTTATGAGTTACAAAGACACAATGTCTGATGCGGTGAGTATTAAAGATAAACAGGAGAACTTAATGTTCGTCCTGCGCGGTTTGCGGTTAATATATATAAGACGCGACGGCTGGCCGTGCGTTGCGGATGGCGTAATGTCACTTAGTATAATGACGCGCGCCGAGATCCTTTCCTTCACCTCGGCGGCAGCGCGTGCGGTAGGAAAGGGAAGGAAGGAAGGAAACAAAAATATGCACTAGTCATGTTGATAAAGTAGTAGAAACTTAGGACGAACTCAATGCGATAAGTAATGTAATGTTGATAAAGTAGATTGTTAACTGGCGTTACCAGTAACCAAAGCCACCACTCTAATTACCGGATGCCTCTGGTAGGGGGTCCAGCTATATAGTGCCTTACAACCTCATTTTTGGGAGTTCTTATAATACCGCTCTTTGTAAGACGAAACTCTGTCGAAATATTAAAATTAAATAAAATTATTGTGTTTATAGTTTTCTACCTTTTTTTTTATTTTACTAACTGTTACACGTAATAAAAATAAGAAGCGACTGGGTTGGCGTAAAGAAACGTGTATAAATATGATAAACCTAATAAAATAAGTATCTAACTACCTATCTACTTACAGTATTAGTGACTACAAACATGTTGGTAGATAGAATACGACGCACGGGGAAGTGGAGGCGAAATCAGAATTTGAGCTGAGGTAGTATAGGCCCTTAAAAGTAATGGATGAACGTTTAAATGTCGGTGTAAATTAAATTGAAGACGTCAAAATTATTAGCTAAGATCTGCGTAAAAATACCAAGTTGAGAACACTCGCCATTTTTATATTTTAAGTTCGTTAATATTATGGATTGCCGCAAAGTAACACAGGATTCTACTTTTTATTTTAAAATCTATAGCAGATTATTATAAAGGAGGAAGCTTGGAATTTTCAAAACTTCAAAAGTTTTGATATTTAAGAATTAAAAATAAAGTTACTTACTCCATAATGCATTAAAGTCTATGGGAAATGAGATGTGTAGGTAAAGGAGGCGACAGCAGAGGGTTTTTGACTTTATTTATTAAAAATAAAAAATGTGCGTGTACACACGTACGAAGTTAAACTTCTTTACGACATATCATTCTTCTTTTATTTTATATTTCACATAAGTAGATTCAATAATAGTATACTCATCATGCAGCTCCGGCGGTGAAACGTTACAAGAAAACGTGGTGTTTTTGTTTTTTTTTTATACCATACTAAATTTATCCACTACGTCGATAAAGAAGTTTCACTTCAAAACTTCATACAAAAATAAGACTTATAAGACAATATAAAAATTAAGTACATTCAACACTTAAATATACTAATATTATTTAGATCAATCTAACAAAGTAGGAACAAACGGAGAAAGAATCACATTCATACAGCTCATAGCTGTGCACGAGTCTCAATAAATTCAGGACCGATACGAATTATGTACCTTCAATCACACTTACCATCAGGTGAGCCGCATGTTCGTTTACCCTTTCTTCTATATTAAAAAAAAAAAAACCTTTTTAGCAAATCCTTCGTATGACGAATTATGCTAAATTACTTGGACTCATTTCAGATTTTCGAAATAACTTTTACAGTAAATGGCTACACCAGTCCGTGGTCACTGGCTACAAACTACAATACAAACGAAGGTTAAAGACTTAGAAACTAGTCTAACCCCTTTCAAAAGACCAGTAACGTAAGGGGTCCATGTGATGTTGCAGATGGCTTCTATGGGCGATGGTAGTCACCCACAGAGTACTTTATAGTCATCACTATTGCGTGAGCCGTATGTCTGCGCCCTCTTTTCCCAAAAGAGGGTCGCTCATGATAAGGCACAATACAGCTTAATCAGCCGGCTGCCTGTCCCCAAAGGCGGTTTTTAGAGGGTATCACTTAGGGTCCCCGATAGGACAGTGAGCCCCTCATAACCACGATAGACCGGCTATCATGGTATGCGTAATGCATTTTCCGCCTCCCTACGTATAGGGTAGCCCTTTAATTGCTTCGGGCGCAAAAAAAAAGTGAGCCGTATGCTCTTTTGCCTTTGCTTCTATGAAAAAAGTTATCCTATAGATATAAATTAAAAATAAATATCTATAGGATAACTATTTTTTATTGCACTAGATAGTAAATTTCATATTGATCCCATAATGCCAAACTTCTTCATAGAAAAGTAGCCTCTAATAAGTTTTTATAGGTTAAAGTGCTGTGGGTGTGTGCGGCCTCATGAGACCGCTAGGGATTTGACGGAATATGGCCGCGGTCTCATGAGACCACCAGGTTAAGTGTCCGTTTCGAGTGTGAACAAACATACCTCCTAGTATTTTTTATAATAATCATTTGACGAACCAACAGTTTATATGAATAGCACCTTTTAGATTTATCCTCAGACCAATGAAGAAAGAGTGACGGAGCACTGCGTACATTCAAGTGACGCAAAAATCAAGCCAAAACCACGCTCAACTTAATGTAGAACACGCACTCACCCACACATATGCATCTAAAATCATTAACAACCAACAAAGTGGTTTTGGGTGCATATGTACGCGTCTAGCAGTAAGCTTTTGCGGGCTGATAAAGATGTATGCGTGAACGTAGAAAGTTGAGCATGAATTTTGAAACCTGTCACCTGTCATTGTCACCTGAAATCAATGAATGGATTGAATGATTTTTATTCAATAAAGAATATTGTATAATATTTATTGAATCATTTTTAATTAAACACTGGTTCGGAAGAAAAACCTCTGTCCTGGGAAGAACCAGCAGGAAACCCAGCGGGATTTTTTTAAACATCTCTTTTACAACAATTTATTTTGTACAATTTTTGAATTAATTTTTATAGAATCAGAATGGTGGCGATCACCTCTTTCCCAGGGATTATTTTCATTTATGTATTTTTTGATATTATAATAGCCCTTTACAATTTGTCTTTAAAAACATTTAAACTTGTTTAACGGCAAATTTTGTAGTAAAAGCGTGTTTTTTTAATAATTATTGAATTGGCGATATTTTGAAAAGGGGCCACGTTAGAAGTACCCTTAACCGACGAGAATGTACGTAGATATATGGATGTAAAGGAGGCGAAAGGGGTATGTCAGGATCGTGCCAAATGGAAGTCCGTAGTCTCTGCCTACCCCTCTGGGTGACAGGCGTGAGTGTTTACGTATTATGTATGTATGTATATATTGAATTTCAAGTATCCAGGACTCATTTATTACATTACAATTTTTAAATTATAATTTTTAAGAAATAAAAATTTAAAAACTGAATACTCTAACAAAATACGATAGGATACATACATTTAAATGTACGCAGCGCTCCGTCTTGATCATTGTCATCTTGTTTGGTATGAGGCATTACCTATACTCTAGTGTCAGGGTGAAAAAAATAGTTTTAGGTCTTTAAAATACTTCTAAAAAAAATTACTATGACGATTTTTTTATTATCGCTACAGTTTTCCTCCTCCCTTCTCCTATTTCGTCAACCATGAGCCCTTCGAACTCGCTAACTAACGCCTTAATGCAGTCAACTTCGTTCTTAGTCAAACCCGTCGGCAATTCGAATTTCGCGTACTCGTCGCTTCCCGACAAATTCTGACACATCTCTATGACGCCATTTTGAAAATCGACATCAACGTCATAGACAACGTTTTTTTTCTGCGGCGTTGATTTGAAAGCAGCCTGCCACATTTCTTTTTCCTTTTTCGCAGATTCCTGGATGTATCGCTCGAAATCCACCAGCGCTTTGCCGATTTCCTTGTTCTTCGGCTCAAGTTTCAGCGCTTTATTGTAATATTTTAACGCCTCCTCCCTTTTTCCAAGCATTTCGTAAGCCCTGCCATAGTAAAACAACGCCTTACAGTGTGTTTCTATATCGATTAAATGGTCTAAGCTCTCGCACATGTTTATTACATATTTTGGTTTATTTATTTTGTAGTAACACACGGCTAAATTGACAAATACGACAATCTTCAGTTTTTTGACTTCGCTTTCTTCGGTTTCGTTCTGCGGCTGCGATATTCTTAGCACAGATATAGATTGTTGATAGTTTTTGATAGCTTTGGTGTATTTTTTCTTATTGAATAAGTCCTTGGCTTGAGAGTGTAGGGACTTTACGGTTTTCATTGTCACTTCAAATTTCTTCTGTTCCTCCATAGGTAAATCGTTGAATCTGAAAATTACAATTTGATAGCTAATCCGATTATAAAAAACATAAAAATATTTTTTTTTACTAATTTAAATTAATTAATTAAAACCTTTCGAAATTCAAATAATATCCACCCTTATGGCAATAAAACAACAAATTTAGTAGGTAGTCACTTCGCAGGGTCACAGGCTCAAGGCCAAAGTTATTGTTCGAAAAAATTTCAAACGTTTACTTCAAAATTTTTGTTTTTAATTATTTTTTGTAAAATATCAGTGCCATAGGTTTTTACTCCGTTCACATGTTACGCCATATTTTTTTCCAGACGATAAAAAAGTCATCCAGTATAATTATAGTATAAGGATGACAAGCGAGCAAACAGCCCACCTGATGGTAAGTAATGTTGCGGCCTATAGATATGTACATTTTTATCCTTGATTAAAAATCAAAATGCATATATGTTGTCACCCATGAGGACTAAGATTGAATGCCTCGTATCCAGTAAAGAGTCTACGGTTCTCTACACTCACCATACGAAACACACCAGCATTAAGCTGGTATTTTACGCTGGTATTCTGTGAGAGCATTGTCCTACCCCGGTCGAACCGACCCATTCATGATGCAACCATAATATATCTGCAGTGACTCTGCCACATATATTTTTTGATAGATATGAGATGATCTGTTACGCATAATATGTTTTCAGAGATTACATTAATCCTCAATCCCCATAGAATTCCCATGCAGTCGCATGCGCCTGACAAATCCCGAGCGGTCGCATGCGAACGCACCCACCCACAGCACTTAAAACCACTATAACTTATATTTAGAGATTACTTTTCTTTAAAGAAGTTTGGCATTATAAAATCTATACATAATTATCTATCCTGTGGTCTTAACAAAAGTCAGGTTTTACTTCATTACAAAAAGATTTTATTGTATTTTGATAACAAAAAAAATATACCAAGCGGATGTCGGCAGCGCGAAAACCACAATTATTTCCATATATTACTCGAAATCATTAAGTAAAAAGATAAATTATATTCACACAAAACTTTTGTAACAATTTTATAATAAAACACTATAGTAAAACACTAGAAAAATCCAAAAATCAACATAACATTCAAATGAAAATGGCGTACGTAATGAACGTATAATATAAATTTATGTCCTACTAACTGTTTTTTATTCCACTAGAAGATAGAAAATTTCATATTGATTCTATAAAGCCAAACTTCTTCATAGAGTAGTCTCTAATTATAAGTTTTTATGGGTTAAAGTGCTGTGGGTGGGTGTGGTCATATTTGGCCGCTTGGTGTTTGAGAGGTTAAGATTTAAATGAAACTGACTTTACGTATTTAATCAAGTATAATTTTAACTTTTCTAACAACGTTACTGTAAAACAGTTTAAGTTAACCTAGGGTTAAATTTAACTATGTGGCCCCCCTGTGAGAGAGGCCCTGCAGGCTACTGAAGCAGAAGTCTCAATATATCTTACCTTGCTGCTGCTTGTACGTCTTTGACATCATACAACACGATAACAAATAAAGCAGGCTCCGGTCTCACCCGGGGCAGAGCACCCCTCTCCCCCCACGCAACATTCGGCTGCAGCAGCAAATGGAACCTGGCTTTAGGCCCCTTCACCGCAGTGAGACCTATTTCCAGGCCTAATAAAATCTTGCCCGTGCCTAAACGGATATGCTGAAAGATAATATTTATTAGAAAAATATAATTATACTAAAAAATAAAACTAAATTGAAAAACCCCCCGAAACAAAAAGAGCCGATGATCTTTAAACGGCAGATTTTTTAAATCATAGCTAAAAACACTGGAACAGAAACAGAAACTTTTTTATTCAATATAGATCATAAATAATACTTATTGAAAGTCAATTTTTTTAATTTACTACTGGTTCGGAAAAAACCTCTGTCCTGGGAAGAACCAGCAAGAAACGCGGCGGGACTTTAAAAAAATAACAGTATACTTAGTTTAATAAAGTTTTTTAACTTTGTGCGGGTCAAATTTTATATATTTTCTGGGATTTTGTTGTAAAAGCGTATACATAGCCCCTTTTGAAGCTTTGCATATAGTGTAATTCTAACAAATGGTGGTACAAAATGGTGGTATCAACAAGACTCAGCTCTTTTTAATTTAAAATTAAATTAGTATTAACACGTTTGATGTTCGGAGTTATGAATTTCATACATTCAGTTTTAGTGGTAGTTAAATGCAAATTATTAACATTAAACCAATTTACTAATTTAGATAAACATTATTTACTTCGTTATAATTTAGTAACTGTCGTTTTAACTTGAAAATTAATGAAGTGTCATCAGCAAATAATACTATATCATGGTAATCCCCTACTATGTAAGGTAAGTGACTAATATATACAAGAAACAGAAAGGGGTCAAGAATTGAGCCCTGAGGCACGCCCATTTGTACTATCGACCCGGAAGAACTTATACTATTTATGACAAACTTTTTGCATTTTGTTAATTAAATATGAAATAATTAATATAAGAGCATTACTTCTTTCATCGTATTGTTGAAGTTTCCTGATTAATGTTTCACGGTGAACACAATCGAAGGCTTTGGATAGGTCACAGAATATACCCAAAGCTTTCTGTGAATTCTTTCATGTGTTGAAGGTATATTTAATCAGCTCAACAACAGTATCAGTTGTCGAGCGACTCCTTGTGAAACCGAATAGATTTTTATATAGTAAATTATTTACATACGTCAAATTTCGCGAGTCGCTAAGAGATTTATTTCATTAAAGAGACTCTTCGTAAACTAGTAACTCTCAATATACCACGTTTTTAATAACATTTATTGGTGCACCTAAACCCACCCTTGAGGTCCAGTCAATTAAAAACATCGTAACAAACATGCAAAAAGAACTGTCGATTTGAGAACCTCTTTTTTATAGGGAGGTATATATATATATATATATATATATATATATATATATATATATATATATTATATACCTCTTTTTTGCAGTCATCTAGGAAAATGTATCTACGCTGTGACTTCTGATATAGCTTGAAGAACCGACAGCCGATAGGGACGAAATGTTATCGGGTAGCAGCGTCGTTTCGGTATCTCTTATCGTGTAAGTCGACCCCTACTAGTTAGAGTGGCTACTTAATGAAACATGTCGTTTTGTCAAGGGAGTCGTGGACGCAGGTAACTCTGACCGCACTATGTGGCTATCTATTAAGCAGCCATATATTCAGCAGTAGGCTTGTGATGGGCTGTAGTGATGATCCTGATGAGAACATACATCCGGTTTATGAAGGACCATCACCGCTTAAGCTACGTTAATGTAAAATAGTTAAGCATTATTAGGTTTTAGCCCAATAAATGAATAATAAGCCATAAAAAACAACGCCTCCACTGTTTGGTGCAACAAGGCCAACCAAAAGACGACTGTGGACAGACTAAATAGTCTACAAAGGATTGCCTGCTTAATGGCAACTGGAGCGATGCGATCATCGCCTGGAGCGGCTCTTAATGCACTTCTATGCCTAACGCTCCTTGATCTTTATCTAGACAAGGAGGCGAGGGCTATTTTGTATAGAATTAACACCGAGGGCGGTTTGAGCTTGCTTTCTTACAGATTGAGATCCATGGTCGACTCTTTTAAAGAAACACCGGCCTTGTGCATGATCTCAGATATCATACGTCCACTATAAACTTTTAATAAAAAGTATATAGTGCAACTATCCTACAGAGAAGACTGGCTGAATGGCCAGGTCATCTGTGAGGGCGGTAGCCTTATATGGCGTACCGATGGGTCAAAAATGGGTCTCGACGTAGGCTTTGGAATTTATGAAGAACGCCCCAAATTCAAACTTAGTATGATTTTGGGTAGTTTAACATCTATCTCTCAGGCAGAAATTTTCGCCATACTTGTGTGCGGAAATCAATCTACAAAAGCACTAAGTCACTACACCGTACAATTTATATAAACTCTGATAGTCAAACAGCACTGCTAGCGCTGAGGTCAAACTTGGTAAACTCGAAGTTAGTTGGAAACTGCGTGAACCGTCTAAACACCCTGGGATGTAACAACAGGGTCGTCTTAAGATGGGTTCCGGGTTACGCGCCTATTGTAGGCAGTTAACTTGCCGACAAACTCGCACGGGAAGGCTTAAAGAGTACACAATTTGAACCCGAGCCATTTTGTGGAAACTCAAAAAGCCTAGCCCGATTGACCCTTGAAATTCTTTATCAAAATATATCACCTAAGATCTAAAACCTTAATCCGGGCTTTCGATTGTAAATTCGCTTCAGAAGCCCTGGGATTAAGTAAAAATAAATTGCGCAATCCGGCAAGAACTCTAACTGGACACTTTGTCTTTAAAAGCACATGTCCATCCTGGGACTAAGCAACTCAAGGATGTGTCGGTTCTTTTCTCTAACGGAAGAAACGCCTCTGCACATCGTATTTGATTGCAGACCCTTAATGCGCAAACGTAACACTCATCTGGGTAACTATAACCCCCCCCCCCCAAAGTGAAATTGCTCACAGCTAAGCAACTTCTTCTATTCATTGAAGACATAGGGCTTAGCAGTGAAGTATAGCCATAGCAGCGATCACAATAGATCTTTTAGGTCGCAGTGATACTGGTCTCTTTTCGTAGACCTGCGCAGTTGCTCGCACATAGTTAAAAAAAACATAAAAAAGAGACATGGTCTCTGACGGTTGGCCAAATGAGGTGGCTTACGTTCTTTCAGCGAGCTATAGCTCTCCATATGCCATGCTTAGTTTTTTTGCGTGATAAAATTAGTAACGAAAATACCTAGAACAACCAGAGAAACCAACATGACCTAAAGGATCAGTAAACGGAAGAGACATGTTGGTCCTTGCACCAACAATAGATGGAGAAAAAAGGTTCTCGAGTGAGAGTAAGACATCAAACCGGATCATCACAGGACCGTGTTTTGTGACTATGTCCAGCGATGGGCATGTGAAGGTTTGTAATGATAATGAATGTGTTTACGCCCGATTGTCTTATCTCGAGCGGAGTGAATGGGACGGTTAGCAAGGTGCGGGAGGAGGAGGCTAGCTGCATATTTCGCGCAGCGCAGTCGTTCTGTCTGCATCGAGCAGAGCTGTGGGAAGGTCGGCGGCGGAGCCGGGCTGCACCCGGTCCGCCGCGAGGCTGCGAGCCTGCGCCGGTGCGCCGGCCGGCGTTCCCGGGTCGTTGTTAACGATTTGTAAGTTTCCGGCTAACGAAGCCATATTGGATAATTGATTGTTTAAGTATTATTTGTGAATCACACTTCTGTTAATTGAGCGCGCCATTTTGAATTTATTATTGAATATTAGAATATAAATTATAAAAATATATTTCCTAGAAACAGAAGCGTTCTATGGCTGCATGCCCCTTAGATGGATCCCATATTTGAAGAGAGGCGACGCCTTGGGATCTGCTGTTCTGCAACCAGCGGGGATGTCAGATTACATATTGAACACGTACTGAACACAACTCACACACACCCACTATTCCGCCTGACTCTTCCTATGGTTAACCGTACTTCGACGGTAAACTGTAAGTTTTGTTTGGTTCTTCGTTAGCCGCTATAGTTTAATATTCTATAGGTCTTTGGACCCTCCCCTTGTCTACTCGTCGAGTTGGATTCCTGATGGGCCCGAGTCTGACGACCTTTGTCAGGGTAGCCTGGGGCAGTAACAGAATGAATGACGGCTCCGTGGCGCAGTGGTTTAGCAATGAGTTACAGCGCTGAAAGCCGCGGGTTCGAATCCCGCACGGAACAAGTATTTGTATGGCCTACAAGTAATTGTTCCGGGTCGATGTGTTTGTCCTTGTGAAATTTATGTATATAAACTGCTTTCGCGATACAGGAGAAAATCCTAGTATGGAGGCAACGTTAAAAAAAAGGAAAGAAAATTATAGGTTTAGCGAAGAGCCGATCACAATACCAGATAAGATCACACTTTCACTTTAACTTTTAATTCTCTCTCTCTCTCTCTCTCTCTCTTGCCGATTGGGGTATTTTCGTCTGCTAAGCATGACTTTTAAAGGCAAACACTTTTTACAATGAGAAAGGATTATATTATATTATCCAGCGGTGGAGAAAGGTCAAATAAATTTAACAACATACCAAAGGCATTCCAGAGTTCATAGTAAGCGTGGAATCAAAAGGGATTTTCGCCTTTTCCCAATAAGCAGCATAATGAAGGGTCACCTCAGCATCAACTGGGACGAGAGGGCCATCACCTAAAATATTAATTATTTAAATTATATACGACCTTACTCGTAATAGTCGACGTTAATTCAAGAATAGTTTGAAATTACCTGTTCTCTTTCATGAAATGACAGTACTAAGAGACTAGTAAGAGTATAAGGTTAAATTAAATATTTAATTTAAGTAAGTGATATTCAACGATTATAGGGTCAGTAAAGTTTAAAGTAAAGTTTTGATTACTTTTTATAGAATAAGGGTGACATACCAGCACAAGGTCCACCAGGCTGTAAGTCAGTGCTGTGGTCTATAGACATTTACATCTACTCATGAATTAGAATAAAAATGCAGATGCGTTGTCACCCCAGAAGACTAAGATGGTATGCCTCGTTACCAGTAAAAAAGGGACTCAGGTTCTCTACACTCACTATATGAAACACAGCAGTATTGAACTGATATTTTCCGCTGGTATTCTGCGAAAGTGCGGTCGTTCCCCGGTCGTACCAACCCATTAGTTCTACAACAATAATATAGCCACAGAGCTTAGCTCCATACCATATAGCTTATAAAAGAGTTTAAGATAGATGACATTATTGGCATACCTTCTTCAATTATAAGCATTTTCACATCACCACTAGGTACACAGTCAATCATTTTAGCAGCAAGCTCACTAAACGAATGGTATTCGGGAGAAACAAGCATCATCTGTTCCGTTGAAGTTTCTATATTTTTCAGGACATCTTCAGAGTCGCTACAACAAATGAATGTATTTAATATGGACATCCAGCAAACAGTCGTTCTACATTTTGTACAGGCTTATTTCTTTAGAAAATACATGAATTATTATGCCTAGGAGTTCAACTGAGAAGATTTATCTGAATTGCAATGCTTGCACTTAAGAGTAAGGGAGTAGGGTAGCCCTATGCTTGTGCATTCACTTGGGCAATACAATCCTGTCCTGCGCAAATGGCTATTCTTCGTTGAAAATGGCCGCCGTTACCAAATCAATCTAGAACCCTTTATTATAGTTTTAAAAATAGAACACATATTTGTTTGAATATTTTAATGATCAAAGTGAGAATGAGAACTGAGAATCATATAAAATCTGGCTGCTGGCTTTTTGATTTTTTCTGAACAGCAAATAAATACTAAGTAGAAAAACTTATGTTGCTGAGTTCTGGTTTGATGAGTATAATGAGAGAATGGGTGCGTTTGGCAGAAAAAAGCGCTAGCAAGCGCTTGTAAGCAAAATGGCGGTCGTAAGCGGTAAGCGCTGTCAAATCGTAAGTAGCTATTTTCCTCTAGGACACGATGTTAGTTTTAACCGGGGAACCTAACCTAATTTAAATATGTGTTTGTGAAGTATTCATATTAAAAAATTACCAATCATGAATTTTTAATAACATGTACATGTCTATTCATGTCATTATATTATTTAAAAGTAATATTGCACAAAAAAAAACTTATAAACTCTACTTCAAAATAAACAAATTAAATAAGCAAAATGGCGGATTGTGTCAGCGCTACTGAAGTAGTAATCTTGTCCTGGCCGAAAACTATTTCAGCGCTTGTAAGCGCTTGCTAGCGCTTTTTTCTGCCAAACGCACCCAGTGTTTACAGGCTGTGAGGCTAACATATTCCTTAGCGGTGACAGCATATACACTTCTTTGTTTAAAGTTTGTTGCAGGTGTCCATTGGTTGCAGTAGCAATAAACCATCAGGTAGACTCCTAAGGTCATTTGTCACTTCAATCTTTTGAAAAAAAAACGAAAAAAAAATACAGAAAAGAATCAGGCAAACCACACACGGGCATAATTATCACTTAAATACAGTAGAATACTGTTCTAATGTGTTCAATATGTGGAGATAAAACAAATTTAAATTCCAAAATCCAGACTCAGCGGCGAAGCTAGGCAAGCCCGAGATATGGTTTTGTTGTTTTTAACAGTTTTATAAAAATACACCAATCTTGATCTGTCTCCACGCTTCAGTTTCATATTCAGTGCTGTCAAGGACGTGTTTAATAAAGCACACAGATGGCATACTATCGCTAGATAGATTGTACGACATATGCAATTGCATACCTTCGGTGGCTTTGAAAAGAGAATTTGCTTGAGCGATAGAACAATATATTTACATACAATTGTTCATGTATTGTACATGAACAAAAGAAAAGCATGAACAGAGTACAAACAAACTATATACAAAATTAAAAAAGGGACGCCTGGCAGATGTGAAACATCGAAATTATTTTGTTTAAGTTAATGAACAAAAGAACAGATTACGACAGGAATAAGATATGAGAAGATAAAGCTTTGCAATTTTTTTTTACATAACATAATGACTATTTATTATATAATTATTCATTTTCAATTTTAATAAACCGTACAAAATGATATTTTTAACTCTTAAGGTAATATTATTCATATTAAATTATTAAATTAGCCGATAGCGTGTTTTTGCCATCTAGCGTCTAATCTTTACGTACCACTGTGAGAATCAATCAATTTTCGTTCGATAAAATGACTTCACCTAAAGAATTTAGTAGATGGCGCTATTAAAATTTTATATACTGAATTTGTTTTTTCTTGATGTATTAGTATTACCAAATACACTATTAATAAATACTGAGTCCTGTACCTATTAAAGTATGTAGAAATGTTTATTGAATTAAAATGTCATTTTTAAAGATTTTACCTTTTCCTCGCCGATTAGCACTTTAACACACTTATATTCATCACAAGGAACACTCTTTCCCTCCATTTTCACAAAAAATCTTTAAAAAAGCATACATTTTCAACTCGCAATAATTTATATAATACATTCGCTCAAGCTCAAAACACAATGTAAACATTCAAATGTGACGTGAACTTGCAAACATATCGTCGACGTCGCCCGCGCGCCTCTGCTCTCGACTAACTTCATACCTAACGTGACCATACGTCCCACTTTAGGTGGGACGTTTCCGGTTTAAAGGTTTGTGTCGCGCTGTCCCCAAAATACGTAAAAATGTCCCGCTTTGATAAACAAAAGCGTGACAATGATGCAAACTCTGTGACTTGCGCCATCATTATGACACCGCGCGTACAAGGTTTGCCAGCATGGCTTGACTAGTTACGTAATTATTCTAAAAAGCTGATTCTGAATTTAAAGTTACGAAGTGACAATTTTTAATTAATCTACAATAAATTATCAAATAACATACGTTATTTCCAATTAGTATTTATTTGATGTTCAGAATTCACTTTTGATCATTAAAAGATTCAAACAACTATGTGTTTTATTTATAAAACTATATTAAAGGGCTCCAGATTTAATTTTGGTAACGGCGACCATTCTCAACGAAAAATAGCCTTCATCAGCGCATCTAGATTATATTGCCCAAGTGTTATACTACTGCTAATGAGAATTTTGTGACAGAAAAACCCAATAAATGATTCTTGACCCGACTCAGGTTTCGAACTTGGGACCTCTTGATCAGCAATTGCGAAAAAATTGCATCATTAGACCAAGAAGGCAGTCAAAAGTGTTAAAACTATTAATTTTAAAGGCGTCCAGCTCTGAGGAAAAAATTGATGGTCACTAAAAAGCCGGGATTTTTATCTCCATACTAATTTCTATTTATACAATCGTAGTTATATTTCATTATAGAACATTTTGCCACAGGTTAGAAAGGGAGCGATCGTCCTCTCGAAAGCCCGGTAAAAAGCCCACGCGTGCGAGAGAGACAACCAATCGCTCAATTCACCTCTCCTTATATGTATGACAGCAATATCCCTAAGGCTACGAGGTCATGACCTGTGTCGAACAGAGCGCGCGGGAAATTTGAAATAGTTTGAAACAGTTTACGAGTTATTTTATTACTTGATATTATTGATTGATTCAGCTTGATAAGGCAAGCCGGGCATCTCGGCTTCTATGGAGGCTTCGCCACTGTCCAGACTCAATACAAGAAGTTGAAAAATCAACAAATACAATATATAAATTCTGTAATAAAATCTAATTTAAGTGATTCGTACGTAGAAATGTTTCACAGTTAAGCATAAACATTTTAAATAACATTATTCAACTTTACCTTTCATCATCCTCATCAGAATCTGACATTAAATCATTATTCCAATTTAATATTGAGTCTGGCTTCTTTTTTTTGAAATCTGTATCTATATGGAATTCTGTTTGTGATGTTAGAAGCTCCCTGGAATATAAGGATACAATTTATACATGGTGGAGCCGTGCTTCAGTTATATTAGGAGTATAGTTGTAGCATGAATGAGTCGGCTCGACCGGGGAAGGACCACGCTCTCACAGAATACCAGCGTGAAATAGTAGCTTAATGCTGCTGTGTTTCGTATAGTGAGTGTAGAGAACCAATGACCTTTTTTACTGGAAACGATGCATTTCATCTTAGTCCTCATGGGTGGCAACGCTCTGCATTTTGATTCGAGGATATATGTAGATGTCTATGGTCCACAGCAACCACTTACCATCAAGTGGACTGTGTGCTCGTTTGTCACCTTATCCTATAAAAAAAAACATAGAATGTACAAAATCTGCAATCTATGGAAATAATTTTTGGGAGAACTTCCTGAAAAGGTTGATGAAAAATTTCATAGTTTTTGAGGATAAATAAAATATTTTTAATTATTAAACACTGATAAGCATTTCTTATCCACTACCCCATATCATGCTGAGGGTGTCGTAAGAGGTAACCGTATCAGAAGGTGGGAAGAAGTGCCTTTCTAATAACCACAAAAAATAAAATACTGCGGTTGCCAACCGTTGTTAAGTTTGTAAAGTTTCTATGGCTAATTTCCGCCTACGAGGCAATCTATGGGGGGGGCCTATGTTCAGTAGCGAACTTTAATAGGCTGTAACGGTAACCATTTCTTAAGCTACATTCCGAAAGGTTCTTTAAATTAATCCTAATCAGTACTTAACTAATTAGATAATTTGACATATACATACATATACATATACATACATATATATATATATATATATATATATATATATATATATATATATATATATACATATTTAAATAAAAATACATACTCAACTAAACCAATAAAAGCATACAATATAGTATAGGAAATTATAATACACATAAACAACGGAACATTCTGTCCCAGTCTACTGCTGTATAAATGGGCGAGGCAAATAAAGAGAAGGGAAGTGAAGGCAAGAGTTTGAGATAAAACTATATGTCTGCGGCTTTGGTGCACACCACACTTTTACCTACTGTCTATATATATAGGGTAATATAAACAATAAGTTGTAACAACGGGCCAAATTTGCAGTATGAATATCAAATCTAATATTCGGCGAATATGAATACGAATATCTGGCCATGGTAATGAAAAACTAATTTATTTGATGATTTTATATTGTTCTAATAATTAATATTACAACAGGCAAATTATTATTTAAAAACCTAAAATTCGTAGACTTATTAGTTTTTTTCAGTCTGGATGTTCCCAGCCGTTGAAAAAAGCCTTTCCGAGGCGACTGTACATGGTTTCAGTGAAAAAATTTTTTGGCGAGTTTTTCAGCCTTGGAAAATAGACATCTTCTCGGCAAATAAAACACCAATGGATCTGTATTTTTGGGATTGCTTGTTATAATGTAGTTGATTTTTTCCTTAGCTCTTTAGCAGCTTCTTCAAAATTGGTCAGAATATCAATAATTTGGCTCATAAGAGCCTATTACCCTGCTGTGTTTTCATGACGACAATTTGGTAGAGATGGTAAAACATCTTGAATCGCTATGCGTTGTTCGTGTATTCTCTTCAACATCTGATATGTTGAGTCCCATCTAATTTCAACGTTTTGAAACAAAACATCTTTCGGTATATTGTTAGCTTGCTGAAAATCTTTCAGTTATTGGAGTGTTAAAAAATGGGTAATAACTCCCCTGCCCTTATGTAGCTGTCATTGTGGCTTAGGGCCTATGCACACGTATTTTTTACGCGCCGATGAAGCGCGTTTTCAGTCTGTCAGTAATAAAAGTATGTATAAAAATATTAGTTTTTAAATATTCGTGATTAGTATTTGCCGAATATTCAGTAAATGTCTACTGTTCGGCAAATACGAATAGTAGACATTTACCGAATAATAAATAGTAATATGACCCCCCACTAGATGAAGTGACGACCTGGTAAGACATGCAAGTCGATGGATGCAGGTGGCTCAGGACCGTGCTTTGTGGCATACCTTGGGGAGGCCTATGTTCAGCAGTGGACTTGTGAAGGGCTGTAATGATGATGATGAAGATGAAATACTAAAATATATATAATATAAGCAAATGGTGAAAAAATTTATCAAAATATTTTCAATCATTCTGTCTTTTTCATTTTTTAAATTCAAAATGCGTGGCAATGCTTTTTTTTAACTGATTTTAATGCGCACCATATTTGTAAGGGTCAACTGACAGTCTAAAACGTTGTTGTCCATAAATCACATAATTTCAAATAAAAGTAGACGCATTATTTACTCGTATTTTCAAAAACCGCAATAAGGGTATATCATTAATTATACATTTGAACTAAAGTATAAAATTTGGCTACTCATCGAAATATAACACTGTATATTACCTGGTAGTTGATTGGTGTGCTCTAATATTTAACCAACTTCACAAAGAATGAGGTCTCAATTCGACTATAAAATTTTTTGTATGTATGTTATGCAATATCTTCATAGATTGTGGACAAATTTTATTAACAATGTTAACAGAAGCCATGGTTATTTACAAACTTTAATACGCTAAGTTTTAGCGAAAGGCTACAAATAATTTTAACTGTGTTTAAATTGAATACATCTAAGTTGAGCCACAATCAGCGGCACTTGTTTAGCAATTTTTTTATGTAACTGGCTTTACGGCTCTGGGTTCTAGCCCTTCTGAGCCTATCATTTCTTTCAGAATCTTCATTTTATATATTTTCTCTTTACAATATGCTGATGCGTCACTTTGCGAAGTTTTTGGGAGATTTTGACGACAGCTCAACCCAGCGGACTGTTGATGATGACAGCCACTCAAGTTCATAAGGTGCCGAAGCAAACAAATTAACTTGAGGTTTATATCATCATCAAAGCACTTGTTTCGTCGTTTTCTCTAATAGTTCACACGCGCAGACACTTAATTCACAAAATCACATCACTTTTACGAATTAAAATCCACTTCAAACCATTATTCAAGCGACAAAACAGGAGCGACTGTCTGTCGACGGCCAAGTTCCCGCCAAAACTCCCTGCTTATAGCTAGCTAAACCATGATAACAGATAAATAAAATAAAATAATGTTGAGTGCTGTAAAGTACAGTAATGTATTGGAGTTGAAAAGCAAAAACATTGATTATAATATACAATGTCATAATATAGTTACGACAGCCAGTTGCATATTTCGCCATGTTGCACGAAAATTTTCCCAACGATAAGGGTCAGTGGCCGTTGTCAAATAATAAAATATGCAGGCATAAAAATAAATATTGCTCCAACTGTTAATGCAAGCAAGAAGCAACCTTATATCTATATTTATAAAGGCTTTTCTCCTTTGTATATTGATATGTTATTGCGAGTGATCTAGTACATTCCAGTCAAAAAAGTAGAATGACCAGATTTACCTAGAAAGTTCTATATTCATTTCATCGAGTTCAGAAGTGTGTGTCAGGGAGCGGAGAGTTAGTTATTTCGGGAATGCGAATGGAATTAAATGAATGGAAATGCGAAGTGAATTCTACTCTGGGAATTGTCTAAGAAAATCGATTTACAACATCTGCGATTATTAAAGACCTAACTGAAGCAGTCCACTGTCACTCTTGCTACCTGCGTGAAATAATTACCTACAATCGCAAGACACCCAAGGTAAGCGTAGGCGATTGAATGTTAAAGTTTTTTAACACTGTTTACGTAAATAGTTTTTTGTAAATACTTGTTGACATAGTTTTTGTTTAGTGTTTAGTATATTTAATCGTAGGAGGTAAAAAATAGTAGAAAAAGTTTTAATGTAATTTAAAATTTATATATATTATGTGTATTACCTATTTGATCAATTGTAATTGCAAATAGTTGTTCCTACTATAACTGATGCGTGGATAGATACTAAATAACCAACAAAAGGATTCAGATATAATAATTCTTTAAGTTACCGAAGGATTTTTGTAGGAAGTTATGAAAGGTGAATTTATATAATTTGTTTTTGTTAGATAGGATAGCAAAAAGAATTAAATAATAATTTATCTACAGGAGTAATACCTAAATACTTTATTACAAAACTTAGTTGAAATTTACTTCACTATCCAAGTATCTACTTACATACCTACCTACTACTTGTCTATGGTAATCAAAATATTTTAAGTCATAATAATACAAAATACTGAAATTAAAACTTTGTTTACTAACAAGATTCTTAACTAAGTAGAATACGATCACATTTCTGTTAAGAATCCTATTTGAGGTTTATTTGTTATTTCTTCCGAGCTATGCATCGCGATTTCCGCCGAATAGCCTTGCAAGTTGCAGGTGTTAGGCATCGCATAACTCACATAGGTGTGAAAATATGGTCAGTCGATCATAGTCAGAATAGGTACTTCACCTAAGTAACTTAATTAACATTTCGCAATGTATTTTTTTACTTTTATCGACATCCCTTAGTAACCACAGAAAGTCTGCTGTTACATAGGAAGCGGAAACAATGCAAAGTAATATGGACACTCGCGCACAGCGATAAAGTTTTATTTAGGTTGCGTGTAGTTAATAATAATTATGTAGGCTAGTAAGCATCCGCAAGCATTCAACATCAAAGGAGTGCAACTTCTGTATGTAGTACTATTATTTATTCTGTGAATGGAGAAGCTTAGCAATTTTGAACAACATATTTATAAACCTGCTGTGTGTGAAAAAATACATCCATTTCCATCCTAATTGGTGTTTTTACTCATCCCGCATGTAACAATACTATTAAAAATTAAAATGAAACTATATTAATAAATGCACATTACGTTTATTAAATTAGTGTATAATAATACATATTATAAATAAACTTTATTATATTTTTTTGCTCATTTATACCTTCATAATCATTATCATCATCATCATTATCATAACAGCCTTTTTTTTGCTTAATTTATTTGACATGTAATCTATTTGACTTCTAATCTATTTGGCACATATTTTTTTTTAATTTGATCTATTGGACATGTATTCTTTAATTTATTTGATATGTATCTTGTATTATTAATATTATTTAAAACTGTAATTTGTATATTAACATGCTGACGTTTTAGGCATACTGTAAATCAGCATGTACAGGTACACTGTTTTTAAAATATAAATAATATTAATATAAACAGGCAATCCAAGTTGCCTGCTGAACATGGTCCTCTCATAGGTTGCTACTTTGGGGCAAATTTGCCATAGTTCCCATGCTTGACAGGTAGGTTGGAAACCTTATTCAAATCTACCTACTCATTGCACAGTCCACCTGATGGCACATGGACACTGTAGCCCATAGACATCTATATATCATTTTCAGAAGAATCGTAATGCCCTGCATCTAGTAAAAGGGGCTGCATATAATAGCAATCTAAACATCAATCAAAAGAACTGCCTTCACATTATTTTGTTTTGTTTTGTCTGATTGACATATTTTTAACAGCGAAAGACTGTTCGCTTAGCTAATAAGTTAGCTAGTTATATAAGTAGAAATAATACGTAATTGCATAAAACATTTTAAAAGAATATGTAGATAGTAAAAGTTTACACTAACACAGCAAATGTTTAAAATATAAAAAATCGTTCGTTTCACGTAAGTAAAGAATAACTTTTATAAATTATATATCCCAAAAACTACGCATTTCAACAATAGAGTAATTTAGGACTAGAATAACAAAAACAAGAACTTTTCCAAATAAGTTTCGAACCTTCAAAGCGATTGTAAATTTTGTACGACTGAGCCTTTAATAATAAAGGATAAAGTTACGAAGCCCTATGTAACCTTATAATTTATGTACTTATTTATGATGAAAAAGTTAAGCTTTCTCATAAAAATATTTCAGTTAACTTGGAGAAAGGGTTGACTTTTATTTAATTTTCACTTACTTCAAATTAATTCCTTTTGAGAGATGTACAGGTTCTTTGAGAGCATCTTCCATTTTCTCAATATAAAATAAAATTCTTAAAAAAGTGTTATGATATAATTTTTATTTGTAATTTAAAAGAAATTCAAAAAGTAAAATTTTCCCTCACTGTCAGAATGACAGATTCAGATTGTCAGTTGCTTTTTGTCGTTGTTTTTTTTTATTAAAAGGCAAAGAGATCTTTGTATATAGAACCTGGTTTTTGTTCACAAAACTCACAATACTTAGAGCATACATTATAATATAATAATGCGACACTTGAAAAGTTTTAGGACGTTTGACGACCACAGACTTAGAATATACTAACGTAATATAGAATAATATAACGAAAATATAGACGTACACAGATAGGTTTCTCTGTCTACGCGTATAGACGACCTGACAGCCCAAAAACGCATGACAAATTTTGATTTGTAATTATTATGGTGTGCGTTAGCTATAAAAAAATATAGTATATATAATTATTATAGTGTATTACATTTTACTTAGAAGGACGCTCGAAAAATGATTGTTAAGAAAGGGGTAAAAAGATTAAAAAACTAGTTATTGCACGAAATTGAATAACTTTTAAAATTAACTGAATTTTTAATATGTTATTCTAAAATAAATAAATAAATTTTATATAGGAGAGGTGCAAACGAGCATACGGCTCACCTGATGGTAAGTAATCCTTATTAATTGATGCACGCTAACAAGTGTTGTGCTTTGAGCCCCCTCCAAAAGTAATATTATTTGTTGCAAAGTTTTATTATGAGGTAGAATGGTGTTTCGTTTATATCTTGATGTATGAAATGAAGAATTTATATTAACAAGTGATAATTGTTATAATCAAATTAAGAATTTTTATTATATTAAAACTTTTTTATAATACATAATAATTAATGCCCCTCCCCACATTGTGTCATCTTTTGTGTTTCTGTCGTTTTTAATAAGAACTATTAAGTGTCATAAATTTCCAGCAGATTTTTTTTAATACGAGGAGCGGCTGATAAGTCCGCGGCCTAAGGAATAATAATTAAATAAGATATATGGTTTCTGTTATTTATTTTTCAATATAATCTTCCTCAAGTGAAATGCATTTCTCACATCTCGCATACAATGCCTTTTACCCACCCAAAAAATATTGTGTACGTTCCTCATCAAAATGACGATCTACCGCAGCTTTCATTTCATTGTCATCTGCAAATATCTGGCACCAAGTCCCTTTTCAAGTTGGAAAACAGGAAAAAATCGCTAGGTGCTAGGTTTGGGCTATACGGAGTGTGGTCAACCTCTGAGAACCCGGTGTCTTTCAGGGCTTGCCTCACAAAATGTGCAGTGTGAACGGGCGCGTTGTCTTGCAGAAAGAGCACTCCGCACGTCAGTTTCCCATGTCGTTTCTGTACAATAGCCTCGCGAACCTGAATTACTAAATTGGCGTAATATTGGTCATTCATCGTAGTTCCCCTGGAATTCCCCTGGGTGCTTGGCCATCGCAATAAATCACAATGTATCTCACAAGTAATACATATTATATTATATTAGATTGCTTAGTGCGATTGCCAAGTCAATCTATATGTTTAAAACATATAAGATTTTTAACATTGATATGGTCACTATAAAATGTTGTTCGGTTAGCTAATTACGTAATAAATTAAAACAGAAGGACCCTTAAGTCGGGACTAAATTAATTAACCAACTTGGTATTACATGGATCTCACAACTTTTTACGGTAGAAGAACTGAGTTGCGAGACTTGGTTTTTTTACAAGCTATGGTTTTGATGGCATTTCATTTCTTTTTGTAGATAAGATAGTCCTACTTTTTCATTTCCGGTATCTTCTACTTCCTGAATACCAAAAACGTACATATCTACACCTATTTATACATAATATACAAGTACACTGATACATTCATTGCAAATGTAACTTTGTAATTCTATATATTTATATAGGATTACAAAGTTATTTATGCAGTTGGTGTATCTAGAAAAGTGGACCGAAATTAAAAAAAATTAGTTTTTCCTTGATTTATACACTAAACACTAATTTTATTTTAAATTTGAAGCTTTTTTTTTTGAAAACATAATTGTGAAGTTAAGTTTTCATTGCATTTGAATCGTTTTCATCATTATGGATACGTTAAAAGTTCGAGTAACCATGGAAATGAGTACCATCGTATCAGCAACGCGAGTGGCACGCATAATCAACGATGTTTACGGATCGAATACTACAAACGAACGCACAACATGTTATTTATTGGTTTGCCCACTTCCGTTCTGGAAATTTTGACCTGAAAAATGAATCTCGTGAAATGAAAATGAATGTAGTCGCTCAAAAACTTTGGTTGACAATGACGACTTAAAGGCGATTATGAAAGCTGATGATACTCAATCTACAGCTGAATTAGTATTAGTTTTCGATGTTAGCATCAAAATAATATTAGTCCCTTTGCGTCAAATTCATAAGGCTTGACAAATGGGTGCCCTACAAACTGAATTATCGCCACCGCGAAGTACGCGACAAGATGTGCCTTGCACTGCTTAACAGGCACACGAAAGAAGGAATTTTGGACCGCATTGTTTACCTGAGACGAAAAATGGATTCTGTTAGATAATCGAAAGCGCTCAAAAAGTTGGTTGGATCCTGGTTCAGCACCTAAACAATGCACTAAACGAAAACTTATCCCTTAGAAAAATGATGGTCACTGTTTGGTGGTTTAGCGCCGGTGTTATTCATCACAGCTTTTTACCAAATGGGATAAGCATTACTGCAGATGTGCACTGTGAAGAACTGAAAATAAAGATGGAGAAGCTTGCACGTTTCAAACCAACTTTGGTCAATCGTTCGTGCCCACTGCTCCTGCACGACAATGCGCGCCCTCATACTGCATAACAGACGGTCTCCAAGTTACAAGAGCTGGGGTTGGAAGCTCTCCGTCATTCGCCGTACTCACGGAACCTGCCTACAAACTTCCACTTTTTCGCGGGAAAAAATTCAATAACCGAGTACAAAATGCCTTTGAAGAATTTTTTGCCTCCCATCTAGCTGATTTTTTCAAGAAGGGCATCAATAAACTGCCACTACGTTGGCAAAAATGCATCAATTTCATTAGTGATTACTTTGATTAATAAAAAAATGTAGAACAAAAAGTATAGAAAACTTATTTCATAAAAAATACATCAATGTCGTAGTTAAAGACCTAATATTAACTATCGTATGTATTTATCCAAGATATTTTTATATGTTATGTATTAAATTTTATTAACTTAATAATATAATATAAAGTAACAAACATACAACTAATTATCAATACTTTTACGTTTATAGTGTGAAACATAATGTAACAGAAGATCTTTATGCCATAGTTAATGTACTTACTGTTCGGAAACTGTACGGCTAATATTCAGTTCTAAGACTCCATAAAAGTATAAAGTTTAACCGTTGTATTCTAGCCAAAAGAAGGAAAAACGTAGTGGCTACAGCTGTTGCTGTTAAAACTGTTTAGCTAGGAGGCAATATGTAAAATAAGCGACTCCATACAACTCCATTAACAAAAGCATAAAAACTCATCAACTTAACTACCATAATTGCAAATATGTTCTAACCAAATGGCAATTTCATAAGAGCTATGAAGATACTTAGGCTCTTTTAAGCATTATGAAATAATGTAATTTATTTATAACTATAGATCGGATGTTCAGATGCATATTTACCTAAAGTTGAAATGTTGGCTGTTACGGAAAGCACTTTTTTATCGAAAAGAAAATTATATGTATTGCTCAAAGTGTCCATGTACAACTTTTTTATTTTTCATTTATCTTTTATGAATTTTCCATGTGTACCACAAAAAAGATGTTAATTTGATTGAGGAAGAAATATTTAAAGAAATAATCACATTAATAATTTATTTACTCGAATGCATGATAGTAAAAACCCACCTCAGACCAAATATGAAAGTTTCATAAATCAATGAAAACTGTCTGGTGTAAAAAAATGAAGTCCATGTTTTTCTTTTTTTACTATTTGTGTTGAAAAATATTTAATATATGGTATGTTAAATAGTGGGTCTATAATATTCATAGATTTTTTATTTGATTTTTGTACAACAACAACAAGGTGTGTTTTTACAATCAAAGTCTAATTTGTACGAATGTTTAATAATATTTATTTACATAAAAAACTAACAGAATTAATCTAATTCTTCATCTTCGACATTTTCAGCTGTTGGCCATTGCAATATTTCGTCCCAGCATTTAATTTTTTCGTCTTCAGGCAAAAATGAACGCATTTTTTCAGGTCTTGCATCTTCTTTGCATTAATGCAGAGCTGTCTTGGTCCATATGCAGGTTCATTCGGTATCGATACGGTAATCTGTGGCCTTATATTCATTAAAAATGTATGCTTTGTCAGTCCATCAATGAATTCCTGCGTTTTTACCGGCACGTCACCGCCGATCTTTTTGAATGTGAGGTAATGGAACTTTGAAGATACTGAAGCTTACTTTCTCTTTTCTCGGAATTCGCCGATCCTTTGTTTCAAGGGGTAGTGCAGTCTTTTTGAAATGTTGAACCCATCATTTTTTAAACTCGGTCACATCCTCTCGCTGACCAAGTGAACTGTAAAAAAAATCACTCTGCCTGCTCGAAGATACGATTAATTTCATAAGTTCCTGTACACTGTACAGCCTCTCTTTACGATGAAGGCTTCTTTTTATAATTCAAAATGCTCTATCACACGACAGAAAAGTTGGCCACGCATCGGAAAGATCTGTTGAATTTTTTTGAAACGCCCACTGTCAACTAGGGCCATATTCACTCGTACTGCTGTATTGTTTTTATTCTGCCCTGCACAGTTATAAAAAAAGAGCATTAGTTCTACCACTTTTCTGTCGATGTACTCTTTAATGTATGTCCTAATAAACGATCATACCTCGTTTGGTCCCTTCTTTGCTTGCCCTTCATGATATACGAACAGCACACTTTTACCCGTTTTAAAATTGTGAATGTAGAAGATAAGAACGCTAATTTGCCGCAAA